CGCATGCCGGGCTATAACGTGGCTAAGATGTGACCGCTCACAGTGCTATCACATGGTTGCAGACACGCACTCCTGTGTGGCATGCGTTTGAGCTCGACAATTCAAGCTGTGCCCATGTGCCTGAGCCACCTGCTGATCCCCTTAAAAATAGCGCAGTGCTGCAAGCTGGCATCGGTTTCGGGGCGGCTCCGAAGCCGCGGTCTGTGTTCGTCGGGTTGCCTTTCTTGTAACGGTTGATGCAGTTGTTACAGAGGGTGTTCATGGCGCTGCTACGGGGTCAGCCACAGTGCGCGGCACAGTGACAGACAAACGTATAGTTGGCGTTGGTTCAACCGGCATATCAACATCCATATTATCCTGTGTATAAGAAGACTAAGTGATTATAGAAATATATCATTTGGAGTTTGTTCCACAATCTTTCGAACGAGGTTTAAGTAATTTAGTGCTTTTGTTTAATTATTTTTAATTTCGGCGGTTGTTTTAACGAGTTTTGACAACGTTTCATTATTATAGGTAGTTGCAAAAAAATATTTTACGAGCCATCTAGTTAGCGTTGCAGTTTGGGGAGACAATCATCGTTAATCAGGACACAATCTCCAAGCTTAGGCGCATTTCCTGATGTTTTCCGATACCTCTTGTGGAGGTCTTTTAAGTAGTCTTTTTTTCTATCGGCGACTGAAATTATGACGAAGAATTTTAATTCTCTCCCATCGGCTTAACAACGGCAGCGACTCTAAGCGTAGGCTCAGGGGTGCCCAGAATGCGTGCTACTTTTAGAAAGTGCCCTGGGGTTAGGGCTGTAAGATCTGAGGGAGAGTGTTGTTAGTGCCCGTGAATTGAGTACGGCTTCAAAGCGAATTAGTAATGTTGTGAATTCTTCGTAATTAAATTTTTATCTTCCAGTTACTTTTCTTAAGTGGGATTTAAATCTTTTTACTACGAATTCCCATAAACCACCCATATGAGAAGCGCTTGGGGGGATAAATTGCCAATTAACACCTTGGGTAGCTTTTGTACGATCTTAGGCGAAACTTGCTTAATATTTGTATATAACGGATAAGTAATGTGGCAAGTTATGATTGTTCCGGTAGTATTATGTAAGCTTCCATAATGTAAGCGATTACCCTGAGTGTTCGGGGGTATGATGAAAATCGCTCAAAGATGTCGGTATCATCTTATCTTGTATGGAAAGAGTCGATTTTCGACTTTCCGGGAAAATTATACTTATAGGCGATTTTGGCCGATTCTTGGCATTCCGTTTGTACCATGGATACTAGTTTAGCTAATAGTAACGCACCACATAGTTCCAGTCGTGGTAGACCTATTGCTTTTGGAGGAGCTACCTTTGCCTTGACTACTAGTAGGTGACGTGGTCGCTGTGTCTGATTGTGTTCGCATATAAATGGCACAATATGTTCTTTCAGAAGCGTCGCAGAAGCCATTTAGTTCGACTTTGTGCTCTGGGGCATAATTTACCCATCGTTGGATTTGTATCTGTGAGCTATCACTAAGATTGCCCGCGAACTAGGACCACTTTTCTAAACGAAGTGGTTTCACTTGTTGATCCCAATCAGTTTCGTCTAGCCACAATTCCTGTGTTAGGATTTCTGCTTGTATCATAATTTTCCAAAGCCATCCTGCGGAGTCGACAAATTTTGCCATCGAGGTTAAAATCTGCCCCTTTGTTATGGCGGATGATGACTCAGTAGTGTATGAAAACTGGTCAGATATCGCATTCTATTGTATCCTCAAAGTTTTTGTTGTGCTTTCTTTTTTCAATTTAAGGAAGTCAGTGTCTAATAGATTTTCTTTAGGTGTGTCCTTTAAAATATTATGGTGGTTCGTGGTTATCTTTTTTTAACGGAAACTCTGCTCTTTTTAGAGCTTGTGGGACTTGTGCTAGTGCTATGCTTGTGGAAGACTGTGGCTTCCAGACAGAATATCGCCCACATACGTCTGTTTTTTTAACACTTGTGTTGCCAGAGGAAATTCAGATTTTTTGTTCTCTGCCAATTTGTGCAGTGTTCGAAAGCTAATTATGGAGCAGAGTTTTTAGCTTGTAGTCGCGTCGTGGGTTATTTGGGATTTTCGGAAAATTATTTGTATTAAATAAAAATGTGTCATCAAGAAGTATTTTTGAAATTTTTTCAACACCTTCTAGTATAATTTGTGATATAAAGTCGCTGCATAATAAAAGGTCTATTTGAGCGCGGGTGCTGCAGTTTGGGTTGATAGCTGGGCAGCAAATTTGTTAGCTGCGATAAGACTATAGCTTCTTCTTGTATTCTTATATCCGTTTGGGGGAAAATAGGTAAAGGGTCAGATCTTATTAGAGTTCTGTACTACTCTTCCGCCCATTTCCGTAATTTCAAAGTTGTTTTTTTTTTTGGTTGTTTTATCCCAAAATGCTATGAAAGATCGTTGTGATCCTTGGTCTATTAGGGCCCTGAGCTTAAACAGTTCTGCTCGATGTACGATGGAGACGCCTGACGTGGGTAGTAGTACCCTACTTTGATTTTCTTTGTATAGCGTTTAAGTTTTTAATGCAATGCAGCATTGTGCTTCTTGCCAGTTTTATGGATTTAGGACTTCTGTATTAGATGTTGCAACTAAACTCGTGGCCCTTTTGATATTTGCGCTGTTTGGGGGTGAGCAGTTTTAATTCGAACGCTAACTAACATTAGTTACGAAAAAGTTGCGTTCTCTCTTCTTTTGCGACAGCTCAACCGATCCAGTGGTAACTGTGTTTCCAAATTTTTTTATTAAAATTATATTTATTATAAGAAAACTTTTTTTTTCTTATTTAATATTTGTGTGGAATCATCTGCGCCGTCCATTTCCTTACGTCCAACCACAACCACGAAACGAGCCACACCGTGCTCAATCACCTGAATTAACATAAAGCATCCAATGGAATGGTGTCGTTTATGACAATAAACGCAATTAAATTTGCTTTCACAATCTTTGACTATATGAGCATGTATCAAGCAGTTTGTACACATTCTTTTTGACTTTACAAAATTGTTTCGGTCAATGATATTTACTTTTTTAAATTTCTCGCAAGCTTTAAGTTTATGTCCCCTTTTGCATGGTTCGAATGACGTTTGTTTATATTGTTCGGATATGAACGTTTGATTTTTAAAGAAGCTTATATTTTAATTGTTGTAGCTATTGGCTTGGGGCCTGTAGAAGCTTCTATTGAGGTCGGTTGAATACCTTTTGGTTTGGTTATTTTATTGTCTACCCTTWCGGCGATTTCGTACTGGGTAGTGACAAATGAAAGATGTATCGTATCAAACTGACACTCTCAACAATGAATTTGGTATATGAAATGTCTTTACCCCTCTTTAGTTTTCTAGTACATTGCTTTGAGAGTGTAGTTTCTGCAGGTGTACATGGACTTTTATCGTTTGAAATAATTTTTGGTATTTGTAAATATTTTGATTATTTTGAATCTAAGTTCATTTAGAAGATGTTGTTTTGCAAAATAATTGGTCTCAGTGAATACTGATTATAATGATTATTTGTAAACGAAAATTGAGCCTGAAACTCTTACATAAATAAGAATTTTTTTTTGGAGTTGTTTACTGAAAAAGCCGTTTATTGAATACATAAGTTTTGTATCTTATTTAAAAAAGACGTACTTTAATTATTAACCGCACTTTTGTTACTAATATAAATAGTATGTGTTATGTAAATATATATGTATATATGGTATATATAATATATATTTTGTTTGTTTATGTCCTTATCTTGTATGTAGGCACACCCTAATACTTGGACTTGTWTGTATGTTCTTGTGGAATTAAGATCTCGTTAAAGAGATTAATGCACTATAACGTATATATGCATAATGGTTTGTGCTTTAATATTTTATAAGCAGTCCTGTTTGCCTGCTGCAAGGGGTATTGCGGGCCAGATGCCGATATGGACTTTGAATATAAATTAATTTGTTCGAAATATTTTGATTCTTTGGGTATACCAGCTAAGCGGATTTTATGCTGTATGTAAATATATACGTATGTATGTGTATGCGAATTTTCGTAATTTTCGCAGTAGGAGAGAGAAAAGAAATAATATAATGCAGGATTTTTACCATCTGCACTACACCCAACTCTTTTTTTACAAGATAGATACGTTCCTCAGAAATCCGGGCCGTTTCCTATAGTAAAATGGGAGATACGTCAACTTATTTTAACTAGGAGTTAGGAAATGCATGCTTTTCCTAGCTGTGTGGCATGGAGCCCCATCTTGCATTCTTCTGCCGGAAAGTTAAGTTGGTTAACATAAGGCATCAACGTATCTTGTAAGTGCAGATATGTATTGGATGGATCGCATTGTGCCTTCTATGAATTGTATGGACCCAGGATCTTCTGCAGAAATGCAGCCCCAAATCATCACTGAAAGCGAGTGATTTACCCTGGGAAGAACACTGGAGCTAGAATATTGTTCTAACTTTCTTCTGCGAACGTAATTTTCTGTCTCATTCACTGCTTCTAAACAACATAAATCGCTAAAAATAACCTTTAAAAAAGTTTAAATACAATTTCAATATGCTTTCTATTGTGAGGTTAAATAAATAAATAAAGTAAATAAAAATAAAAGAATGTAAATATTTTAGAAACGTACCTTGCTCCAATAACTGGAATTAATATTAATATTATAATTTTTGTGCAGCTGAGCACACCAACACTCGATGTTGTCTTATCAAATCCGTTAATTTTGGCTTCTTCGCATGTTTCCTCCATTTTTAGCCGCTTTCGTAAAATCTTCTGGCAAGAGTATAAAGAGATGTCTTAACGCTGACGCTTTTAGCGTTTTGTAAAATACTTTGCGCTGACGCAGTTCTAATTTTTAGCGCTTTAGGCGATCTTTCCTTCTACTCGCAGTTTGAGCGATTATTATAGCTAATCAAATAAAAGTTTTTTTTTAAGTTTTTTAATAATCATAATAAGCTTTTTTTTCAGCCACCGATGTTTTAGGAATACAAACAATTTTGCTAGTTTCTGAGTAGCTTGAAGATTCTTCTTTCAAAAGAACTACAAAATGTATTTTCTTGTTTGATAAAATATCACATTTCCTAGGAGCATTAACTAAAGTCCTTGGTACCTTAGTTTGAAAGCGCTGAATGCTGGCAATACAGCTTTGACTTGAGCAACCCCATAATTGGGCTCTGTAGCCCCAAACTGCCTTTAGAACTTGATAATATAGTTTATATAAATTGGACAATATTTCAGCTTTTTCAAGGTAAAGTCGTCATGAATTGATTTGGTGTCGATAAATTTGATGCGCCACTTAGTAATTGCGTTGACTGCTGTCTGCACTCGTCAAGTAGATACTGAAGTTGACTCTCTTACATATAGTACTTTCCATAGCGATGAAACGTATCTTAGGCATAATGCGCTGTTTATAATGTTTACACGTTTTTTTATAGAATTATTTTTTAAATTGCATAATATTTCTCCAGTTATTAAATTGTACCCATGTGCTTTTTTGAGTCTTGTGTCATTAACATTTCTAATTTCTTTAATAGTGACAGGAAATATTGATGTGAGGATCCAACCAACTATTTTCACAGTTTATCTCATACCCATCGTTAGGCGTAAATGTATTTCTCATATGATTTGCAAAAAAGGCAGCTTTCTGTTCTTTAGTTTTGGCCCATGCAGTTTCGGTTAGTTTAATGGTGCTACACGTTTTATTTGTTTATTCATATTTCTTCTAGATTTCTAGAGTAATAGTCGGTGGATTTATCAGCTGTAAGTTTAGCCAGATAAGTTTTGAAATAAATTTTTTTAAACTTTTTAATTTGTGTTCTTAGTTTCGCTGTACATTTATTAAGCTCAGTTTTGAGAGCAGAGGACCCAGGTTGCAGCCAACTCCGTCGAAGCTTGCTTATTTTATGGTTTCACGCGGGTATTTGGTGTACTCATCCACGCAGCGTTTTGAATTATTTTTGTGAAATCTTCAACCTCACAGTGAAATTCAATACCTGTAGATATGTGCTTAAGCTTGGGTCGAAATTATTCACTATACTTTTGAATTTATACCAATTAGTGTGTATATTACATAACGTTGGTTTGGCGGCCGAAATAATTGACTTTTCATACAGAGTAAGTAGCACTGGTGAATGGTCAGAGCTTTGGTCTTAGTATTTTATTGATTATAAAGAAGTCATGAAGGTCTGGCAATTTCTGTCTATCTGCAGACCAAGAAGTGGGTCTTCCCGTCGAAAGAAAATTGAATCCAACTGCTTGTATAGCATTGAGTATTCACTTATATATGTTTGTACTTGCGAACGGTCGCTCTTTAGAAGCTGCTATCCAAAACGACGACCTTTTCGATTTCACAGGATATTTTTTGGAAATATAAACAGCCAAAAAGCAACAAAACTAAAAATCCTTTTTGCGTTGCTCCTCAAGAGAAGGAATATACTGAAGGATTTTGCATCATTAAAGACTATGATCCTATATATAGAGCACAATTTTTTTATTTGTTTTGGTCCTTAAACATATACATATGTATGTATATTTACATTTATATATTTTCGATTTTAATTTAAATATATAGCAAACTGTTTGTAATTATTGAAGGTTCTATTTTATGAGCGTAGACGTTGAGTAAATTTAAAAAGTGTAAGTTTTAAACCTAAAACGCAAATTTCTCTAAAGCTATAAGTTTAAAATTTTCGATTTGAATTTCAATACATAGCAAACTGTTTCTAATTATTGAAGGTTCTTTTTTATGAGCGTAGACGTTGAGTAAATTTAAAAAGTGTAAGTTTTAAACCTTAAACGCAAATTTCTGTAAAGCTATAAGTTTGCCGCTCCTATGTCTATAAATTTTATTTATTTAGAGAACCTTCTCCATCCGCACATGCCCGGTTGGGACGGATTTCTAAAGTTCTCCCGGTAAATGTATTGTTTAGGTCCCACAATGAAGGAGCCCGCGAAAACTTGGTTTTTTAATAAAAATTACTCTTTCTGACAGACATTCAAGATTTTTGTATTTTGGAAGATGAAAACTAAGTATATACATATGTATATTAATTATTCAATACAGTTTCTTTAATGCCTTGCCGCTGGTTGGGGATAGAAAAGACTTCTGTCAAATGAAAATATTTTCATTCTAATTTTTATTTGGTTTTTATTTTGTATATATACAATTTTGAACTCTTAATTTTATAATTTAATTGTTTGAACGCGATAAATGTAGCTGTTGTCGGCTTTTCATCTGCCTAAGTTGTTTATTTTGGGCATATTGCATATGCATTTTTCAAATTTTATTCTTTAAAGCATGTTTAAAAAAGTTTGCATATAACTGTTCAATTAACTTCTGTGCGAAAAGGCTATAAGGTTGTCTATGTGATTTCATTCTGAATATCAAGTGATTATTAAGGCTTTTTGTACACTTATTTAATTCTGTTTGTCCTATTAATAAGTAAGAATTAAGGGACGAGTAGGGTCATCTTTAAAAAAAAATTTTTTTTTTTTTGTATTTTCTATTCTCTTATACTTTTTTAATTATTGTAGAAACCCACCTTACCATTGGAAGAGAAAGGCCCAAAAATAATAAAACCGCTCGACGTTCGGAGCGCTCGGAGTGCACACCTGGTACCTCAAACTTTAAACGCGATTTTCTCAAAACACACTTTTTTAAACTGGCGCACATGATTCCGGTCGAACTACTCAACCGCTTGCTTAATTGTTATTTAAATATTCACAAAACGCCTGGCTATCGTCATACTAGATTTTTTATTTTTGTTGACAATGTTAGGACAAAATTTATGTAAAAAACACGTGAAAAATTAAAAAAAAAAACGATAATTACCTTTTTATTTATCAAAATTTTTTCATGATTCTAGTGCAAACGAGTGAAAAGATGCATCTCATTCAAATCTCTTTAAAAATAATCTAGGAATATGTTCCCAAAGTTTTAGATGGGAAATAGTGACCGGGCAGAAAGCAAAAGTTTTGACTCTCGATTTCTCGATTTTTTCAAATTGACGGTCAAGATAGAAAAAAAGTAAACGTCCTATCGAAACGCCTCCGTAAATTTCTTCAAACATGAAGTATATCTAATGTATAATAATAAAAAAATTTAGAAGACTCTTCAAATATATAAGAATAAATCCAAAAAGTTCATTTCAATCAGACATTTCTTTCCCTTCCAAAAAAATTCTTGAGAATGTAGGCCCAAAGTTGCAGACTAAAAATTCACCACCTAGTTTTACCTTTAATATTCTTCTTTTATATTCATGTGGAATTACTATTGATTTGTACATTTCTGATAATTCACTTTGTATTAACTTTTTGAGGGACAAAGATTTCAGAAAGTTAGAAAATTCGTGTGGTTCAAATTATAGACCACCGACGATGCAGCCATTTATATGACACTCTTGGAAACATGTTTTATCCTCGAAAGAGATGTGGAATATTGCATATTCCGCATATCTACAGATACGTCTCTTTCTGATCCTTCAATTATGTTCCGTTAAATTATACCAAATATATGAATTGACTACGCAAATATCCAAAAAGTAGAAAAAATACTTGAAACGCGTGGCTTCATATTTTCAATGCCTATATCATTATGGAATCTGCAGAAGCTTTGATATTGCCCTTAACTTATTCTGAGTTGGAAGGAATTTCAGCACAATCCAATCTCAATTCTTCAAATTCGTCAGAGAGGTGCCTGATTTTCTCATCGCTCACGTCTTTTCGGCAGTTGTTCCTTTTATCTGTTCACGAATCAATAAAATATTTTTCAGTACAAAACTCGCGGTGGTTAAAAATGACTACCAATATAAGAATTTCTCCTCATAAGCGTAGCATTTCGAGATAATTCAACAATATATTATAAGAAAAATTTTTTCTGTACTTATTCACACCTTATTTCATATACAAGCACAACTTTCAAAAGAATGGCGTGAAACGGATAGAAACAGTGAAGCTGCACCTGAATATTTCACATGATGGCCCATTAAACCGTTATATGTTTGGTAATAACTTGTAATAAATGAAAATGTTTGGATTTCAGAAAATGTACCATCTGCGCGTAAGTTACAAAAAATAATACAAATTTTAGACAGCTCTGCTGAAAGAGTTAATGGTAGTTCTGCTTTTATGACTAATGTATTACCCAAAAAATATCGAATAATTCTATGTACGCTGAAACCTTCATTATTATTAAAAGGAATAATGGAAGAAACATTAAATAACGAAATTATATTCAAAAAAAATAATAAGAGTAATAATTTCCGGAATTTCCATCTTAAAAATTTATATAATATTATATAATTATTTCAATACAAGTATATGTCTTTTTATTTATAAATCAAATAATATTGAACTTTTGAATAAGGAATCATGTTACCCTTGTGTATTATCACCAGTTGCATACGATGAAAGTTCGCTATCAGTTCATTGTCTTGCTGGAAAATCTATTCATCGCCATATAAATCGCCAGAAAATGAGAAAGTTCGTTTTCTAAAAAGTCATGAATGGAACACATAGATGACGACAGCGACAATACACACGTCTTTATGGGAAGAGTTTTATCGAAGATAGCACGACTTCGCGGCACCAGACTTGGTATTGTCGCTGTCGGTAACTTAAAACCATTTCTAATTTTGTCGATGACAATGGGCAGCTGTAAAGTTGCCACTAGTATGTGAGATGTAAAATTATTCAATTCTTTAAAGGGTTACGTGGGTTTCTTCGGGTAGAAAACAGCTTATTTTCCAAAAAAAATTTTCATAAAAATATGAAATATTTTATTATAATTTTTTATTGTTACAAAGATGTACAATATGTACAGATGTACATAGTGAGTTTGTTGTCGCGTAGTAAGTTGAAAATCTGCTCAAAGTGTTGAAGATGTTCCTCATGGGTTTCAGAATCCACTATGAGGTCATCAATGAAACAGCCAACAAAGTCCAAACCTCTTAAGATGTTGTCCATGTAGCGCTGAAAAGTTTGGTTTGCATTGCGTAGTCCCGGTGGCATTCCCAGGAATATAAAAGAACCGAAAGTTGTTGTGACTGCTATCTTCTGGAGCCACAGGAATCTGATGGTATGAACGATTGTTGAAAGTTTTCCTTCCGTGGAGACGCTGAAATAAGTCTTCAGCGAGAGGTACTGGGTTCAGTCGCCTGAAGTTTCCCGCAGTTTGCCACTCCTTCAGCTTCTTGGGTAGCATGTGTATGGGACTGGCCTAGCCGCTAGAAAGTCGAATCACCCTTGTTGGACCACTGTCGAAATATATTCCGTGGTTTCAGCAAGCTCTTTCGTCATAGTGAGTGATGTTAACGGGTCGATCAGTCGTTGTGGTTTTAGGTCTATCAGTAGGCCATAATGTACGATGAAGTCAGTCCCAGTCAGTGATCGCAAACTTCGTCGGCAATGATGAAGGGCCATGTGAAAGCTCGACCAAGGATGAGAGTGACTGGTTGATGACCGTATGTTTTGATGCTAGTTGAGATTGCTGCGTAAAGTTTAAATTCCGACCGTACTAGTTTTTGCTTGGCAAAAGCTTGTGGTACTACAGAGACCACTAAGCCAGAGTCAACGAGGAACCTCTGGTGTGAATGTAACATGATGACTGCTGACTACTGACGACGACAGCCTCGCTAGTTTCCCTGGTTCGTAGCAGGTTTGTATGTGCAGGGTGGAAGACATCGGTGGGCTCTCTCACCGAGTTTGCTGGTCAACTCGGAGACTGCGGCTGTCAGAGTCTCTATGGCCCGCTCTAGAGCTGCTGAGCCTGTGCTCGACAGAAGACCTGATGTCGTAACTGTGATGTATATGGGAATGAAAATCACTGTTTCTCACGGCCTGTACATGAGCTGGTAAATCCTGGATGCTGGTTGACATTACTTGCGAACTGGTGTGGTTTTCTATAGCACTGTCTGCAGCTTTCGGCTGGATTTTGCATACGATGTCAGGCAACAGCGCCAACCACTGCGAAGAAGCTCTTCTGATGCTCTGTTGCCAGCCAGGGTCCTCATTTCTCTGAGAAGCTGGCTAGACTTCTGATTCCCGAGTTCAATTTGTGAAACGTTTTATGAGATTTTTTTTTTTAAAGATGTACTTACCTTGAGCTGGTGGTGCCCTGATGTTGTCCGACACCTCCTTGAACACTGCTGGCTTCAAGACGGTACATAGTATTGTCGTTCCTGATGTTTCKCGACCCCAGCTGTGCCTCCACTTGAATGAACCACAGCTCAGGGAGCCTGAGCAGTGTGACTGTCATAATTTTTACATCTTTATTAGGCTGGACGATGCGATACGGATAGTGATTGTTAAAGTTGCCTTGTATTGCATTGAAATAAATGTTTGCACCAGATGGTCTGTTGTTTGAGACAGGAACTGAAAAATCTTTTGGGCGCCTCCGGATAACAAGGAATTCTGTAGCAGCTGGTCGTTTCGCCGCTGTTGTTGCGTCTCTGCTA